TTTGCTTTTGTGTCACCATGATAACACAGCTTTTCTTGTTTAGTGATCCATAAGAGATTTGTTTTTACATATTTTTTAAATGATCTGTGTATCTTTGCAAATTATATTTATACTGCTCCTGAAATTCCATTTTTTCTGTGCTCCTCTATTAATTTGATATACAGTCCTTATTTAATTACTATCTCTATTTGCATAATAGAAATCATTTACCCAGTCCCAATAAAGTGCACTTCTGTTTCAGTGCATTTTCAAATGGCTGAGCTTTGTCCTTCTGTGTGCTCTAATGTTTCTGTAGTCTTTGCAAAGTAACTATTACCTGATGAGATTTTTTTTTTTTTTTCTAACTTCGCATTGCTGGAGAGAAATGATGGAATGGTTTAAGTAAAAGCACAGAGGTGGCACCACGGTGGCTATACCATTGTGGTATAGTTTTAGCTATTCTTTATAAAGTATAGATGCACATAGTGACCATGTAGCAATTATCCTTTTCCTAAAGCAACTCTTACAAGTTGGTACGGTTGATACGTATGGTATTTAGAGAACAGCACCTGATTTATGTTAACTAAACACACTGCTCCAGGACTTTATAGGCTGCCATATATGTGTTTTTAAGATCAGAATTTTTATTTTTTAACCTCTAATCACTATGAAATTCTGCTGGGTGTTACACTGGGTGACAGTTCTCTGAAGAATTCTGTTTAATCCTTCAGACAGCATAAAGAAATACGATATTTTTACTTGTGCTAAACTTGGTGAGCAAAGCTACTCGATGTTCTATAGTAGGGGATCTCAACTTCTCAATCTCTTCTATTAAGAAGCAATATTCATCACAGGGTCATGGAAGTAACAGTCTTCCTTCTGATTCTGCCTTAAAATATTAAGCTGATGATTCCTTTGTAAACATGTACTGTAATTTCAAAGCAGCCTATTTTCCAAATATCACTATTTAAAGTCACTTGCATTTTGTGACTTCAGAGAAAGTACTTGAAGCCCACCAAAGTCATGAGTAAGGAACAGCAGCGAGCATCACTCTGGCTTCCATGTTGTAGCAGTACTGTTGCTGTAGCCATCACAGCATAATAAGCGTGACAGACTTTGTGAGGAAATCTGGTGTTCCTACTCTTTGATAATAGAAATCATTTAACCAGTCCCAATAAAGGGCACTTCTGTTTCAATGCATTTTCAAATGGCTGAGCTTTGTCCTTCTATGTGCTCTAATGTTTCTGTAGTCTTTGCAAAGTAACTATTTCACTAAGAAAAAAAAAAAAAAAAAGTGTTCAAGGAGTTCTTGGGAACACAAGCTCAGTTTCCAGTCCAAAGTAGCAAGAACCACTCCAAAAATTAAAAACAGTTGAGAAGTTTGAAGATTGCTCTTGCTTCTGAGACAACTTCTGCTACTGCTTCAGCTACTCGCCTAAAAAAAAAAAAAAAAAAGAAAAAAAAACAAACTTGACTGCTTCTCCTAATTGTATCAGCTCGTCTAATAAAGAACATAATAATTTTCTAATGAATGTTACCAGCACTTAATCTAAGCCTCTGCATACCACCTACTTGGATTCCTCAAAATTATTCTCAACAAAACAACTTGAAAGTCACAACAGTTATTTGAATGACCTTGTGCAATTCTGAGTTATTCAATATTCTGAAAAATTATTTGGTTAAATGCAAAAAAAAAAAAAAAAAAAAAAAAAAAACCAGAAGTTAAACATTTTAAACATCCAATAGTTTAGATATAATAGCTTTTTTAAAAAAAGGTTGTTCAATCTTTTTTTCTTTTTTTTCCCTGAGATTTTCAGAAACTAAGAACAACATTACACTTCATATGTTTAAATACAGATACATCATCAAAGGTAGCTACTACTTCATTCAGGAGAATTTCAGCACCAACATTACTAATGAGCTACTGCTAATTAATAAACTATTACTGAGCTATTACTAATATAGCTCAGGCCACCCAAAGCTCTTTTTACCTTTTGGGAAGGCTCAGGAACTCCATGTTACATTTATGATGCTGATGTTTGTCCACCTCCAGCAGATAGTATTATAGCCATTCAACAGCTTACAGAGCTGAACAGCTTTGGGCTGTACCAATCCAAAATATTTTTAATTCATCATACTATAAATGAAAAAATGTGCATGTTGCTAACTTTATCTACTGAGTTTCCCTTTAACTCATTTCATGGGATAAGTCATCTGCATCCTGAGCACACTGAACAACAAATCAAAAATCTCAGTGTCCAGAGGCACAGCTTAAAAAAGTAATTAAGTAATTCATCCAAGCCAAAAGAACTGTCATGTATCTCTTGTGCAAATCATGCAAGTCACGCTTTTCCTTTAAACTGACTGTGATTATTTGACTATAATGAGCAAAAGCTATTTGCAAAGTGACTGTCATTTAATTAAGTTACTCCAGAGCTAAAATTTAGCACATTTTAAAACTCCATTTAAATTCTTCCATGAAAACCTGGCATAAATTCAAGCTGGGTTTTGCTGAAGTGCTTTTCAGGAAATGACTTTTATTATCTGTAAAACATGCATGTTGTAGTAAAAGAAACAGAGCTCTTGATGGAGATAATTTATTAAAATATTAATAACAGCCTTCAGCCTGAAAAAAAATTTGCCCACTGCAAATTTAAAGTCTGCAGAACTTTGTTTGCTAAATAATCTAACATAGAGAAACTGCAACAGCTAAGTATTTGTTTATTTTATTACTGTTCACAGAGCAAATTTCTTTAAAATTACGTACTGTCTATGCATCATGCAACTTTTCTTGTTATTACTGACTGATCACTTAAGTAATGTATTAATATTTCTACTTTCCTTGCTCCTTTTACTCCTTTTCTTCCCCTAACTGCAAGAAACCTTATGAGAAGTACACAGGCAGCAAAAGTTTTCCTAGAGCAAACATGTTTTCAAGTTGGAGAAAGTACTTTCATCTTTTTTTCCCCCCTACATTATGTTTCATTAAAGAAAAAACCCTACTTCTTGCAAATGGTCCAATGACATTCATCTAGTGTGAAAATGATGAACATCATCATCCCAAAGCACTAACTGAGGTGGCCTCCATCTGTCCTTATTTGTGACAGACTGACTATGGGTTATATTCATAAGAAAACCAATGAACAATAATTTGCTAGTCCATCAAAAGTGAAAAGTCAGTAAGAAAAGAAGCATCTGTGAAATGTAGTTTCTTCAGGTTCCCACTTCCCACTCAACCACTGCAATATTTTCTTCAGCTTCTTCCTATTTCTGTCAAACCAACTCTTTTTATAGAGATTTTAAATCATTTTATTATAGTTATAAATCTAAAAGTGATTTCCAGAACTAACAATGATGGACATGACTGCTTTCTTATTGCTATTTAATTGCTTTAACAGCACCAGCACTTTGACAAATTGGCTAAGACATAGCATTTTTTTTTCCAGTTTCATTTTAATAGTCTTTACATTTATTGTTTAACCTCTTGGTGCCTTTACAAAGTGATTCTGTATATGGTGATGTATTCAATGCCAGAAAACGTAAACCTTGGCTTGGAATGTAGTAACGCAAGACAAAAGCTCAGAACAGAATTTTTGCTTGGCCAGGACAGACTATTGTAAAATACAGAAAAGAACGGTATAGTTGCAATCATTTCTACATTATGCTTATTAAACTGCAGAATGGCAAGTCAGACCTCTTTACTGGAAGAGTGCCTTACCCACAAATTGCAATGTACACAGGGTTTTTGAGTTCCCTTAAAATAGAGTATAAATATCTATTCCCTCTTTGTATCCATCCTTCTTTGCAGTTAAACTATTTTCATAGTCCGAATGTTTGTAATCCTGTAGTACATAGGATTATAGAAGCTTTAAACATTTGCCATTTTGATCCCCTAGCCACCACACTCCTGCCTTTGAGCAAACAGTGCCAGCTCCCTGTAATCACCGACTGCCAAACACTGCAAGCACACATCGACCTGAAGAAGGTTCAGTTATACCAGCCACTTTCACAGGGATGGACTGCTGTTCTTAGAAAATACCTTCCCTCTGTTTTCTGACATGCAGGTGAATTCAGAACCATCTAAAACACTGAATTTACTAAATTATAACAAATTCACTCATTTTCATGGCACAAGCCCTACTCCAGAATTATATGATCTACCTGCACAGCGAATTTCAGCCTTTGAATATCTGAGAAGAGCCAAGTTCCTTTTTAAATTTACCTTCTGTGAAAGCCAGCTTCCTCAGCTGCCAACATCACTGAGGCTTTGTTCACTCCCCAGCAGAATAACACGTATTTTGAGAACGGGAAAAATTACAAGTGGTTAAAAGCCTTAAGCAAGAGGATTACCGCAGGAGGGATTATGCATAAATCCTTATATGCAGCCATAGCGGTTTTCAAAAGAATTAAACTGCAGTACTGTGTTGAGCCCAAGCAACGCCAGGTCCAGGAGCATATCACATCGCACCCAGTTGTCCTGTGTCCTGTCGCTCATGACAAGAGGAGGGACCTCAAGGTTTTCCAAAGCATGCAGATTCTCAGCCTTTGCTGGGGGGAAAGGACTCTGCACAATCTTTCATCATTCTCGACTAGGTAGATGTTAGTCCTCACTTCTAGCAATTCACACCGCCCACTAAGCCCCCTGCAGACGCACTGCTTCGTTACTCTGTGCACTTGGGGTTTGCTAACTGCACAACACAAGGGAATAGGTGAGAAAGAAAATGAAAATGCTCTCCAAGAACAATGTCCCTTCATTCAAAGGGACTAAGAGCATCCTGAAAAATAAACAAACAGATAACAAAGGCCACTTACTTTAAAAAGAATGTCACCTCGAGCACCAGTAAGGGTAGAACAGACTTCTCATAAGCCCTCCCCTCATACTCCTCCCGTCAGTGGAGATGCCTGACCAGAGTAACTACCATGTATGTAGGCAAAGACAAGGCTGGTGTAAGAATGTTCTCCAGAAAGGCCACACGCCTCTCGATCCACTCTTGCAAAGAGCCTGGACATTACTACTTACAAGTCACACTGCCGAGCCAGAGGTTTTTGTTGAACATAAATGGAGTTAGATGAAGCAGCTCGGGATTCCCCCGGGTTTCTAAATTCAGAGAACTAGAATTGAACTGAAAGGGCAAAGATGTGCTTTCACTGAGCTGAAGGTGGACTAAGAACTGTAATTGCTATTCAAATTTTGAGAATTTGGGTTTATACACACATTAGCCTCACTTGAATAATTACCAGTGCTCAGGAACATGACTAATGCACTTTTTTTTTTTTTAAATCCACATATTGCTGAGTCACCACCAGAATACATTACATGAAGAAAAAGAAAGTACACGCTACAGAACAACACCACTGTACCATGGGAAGCTGTGACTTCCATGCATGAGCTTAATTCCTAAACCTAACCTGTCAAAGTACTAACTTAGAGTGGCTTAAGATTCCTGACTTTGCTCTGCTTCAAAGGAAACTATTTAAGAAATCTGAGACGTGACTGTGCAATCACTTTGATCTCTGTCTACATAAAATGCAGTTTTAGGCGAAGCTTTTATACAGAAGTCATATATTTTCATACCAAATAAAACTTTTTTTGTAGCATTTACCCATGAATACAGCTTTTAATTCTATTAACTGTTTGGGAGGCTAACATATTTTTTTACACACATTTATAAGATGATATGAGGGTTAAGTGACTGCTACTGAATTAGCTATTTCCTCTTTCTTACAGTCACTGTTCCTCTTCCTCCATCCAGGATATAATTAGACATTTTTATGCATTTGTGTGTGTGTTCCCATATTTATGACTCTCAGAACATTTACTTTGTTAATATTCCTAATACTGATGTTAATTACTTTTATTATACAGAGTTTATCATACTTCAACGTGACAACATAAAGTAGGGCTGTATTCTCATTTATATTAGACCCTGTTTAAACCATATGAAAATCTAACAGGAACTCAAAGTAAATTGAATATCATAGACTAGAAAAGCCTTATACCTCTTATTTAATACCAATAAATTGAGGCATTCATATGCTATCCTTAATAATACCTTTTACACTGCAAATAATTTATAAATGAATAGTACCAAGCTGGCATACAAGTATCTCAGCTGACAACACTGAAATTGTTAGATTTACACAGTTCCATATAAGATAAAAATATGGCACGTGCAGTCATTCTGTATAAATAATTTAGCTTTCACTCTAAGATAATTTGGCTCCAAAAAGAGAAAATTACTATGCCAGTAAAATAATAATAATAAATCACAGTAACTTGTTTTAAAAGAATAGTGCTTAGATTTTAGAAGCATTATTGCTTTCTAGCTCTTGTTCATAAGACTATTTCTTAGTAGCATATCAAGAACTGGAAATGTGAAATTGCACTTTTTTTTCTTTAAAACAGAGCTTCCATGAAACATAGGAAATAAAACAAAAACTTATGATCTAACTAGATGAGAACAACCATTCCGTTTTTCTATGGTTTCTGAAAAGGTCTTTGTATATATGATTGCAAGTATGTTTCTCATGGAAATTTTCTATTTGCTTGCCATTTTTTAATTTCCCCAAACGTTTATGGTGAAATAAAGCTAAAATTATTTCAAAGTTTCTGTTCTTTAACAGAAAGTTTTTTTAAAGCATTCCTCCAGTTCTAATAAGAACACAAATAAAATGTAGTTCCAGTGAGCACTTCCACTGTTTAGGAAAAATGATATTTTAATTGTTCCCATGGATGGGTTCCTTTGCATACCACTCTGGAGTAGCTATTTGACAAATGGGTGCATGGCATAAGAAATATTGCCTATGCTGATGCTGCACAAGTCAAGTCCATGTTTAGGGGAAAGGTGTAGCCTATGTAAAAAAAAAAAAAGTCTAGCAGCAGCATAGGACACAGCTTCTAAATACTTAAGGTCCTAGAAAAGCATTTTTGCAGCTTTCCAGTGTAAGCTACACTACCATCAATCCCTGGGCTAGGGTTGCTTTAGGAGACTCGCATCTCTCTACAATCTGCAATCACGTCACTGCACCGCAGTGCAAATGTGCTTTAAAGCCCTTATGCACTTACAGCAGATCTAACTTCAGCACCGTGGGGAATCCAGATATCACCTACATGGTAATTTGCAATTATAGAACCAGAAAGAATACTAGAGGAGAATCTCCTGGTATGCTACCTTTAAAGACATATCTAGCAGCAATACTGTGAATCACACATCAGCAGGTTTTCACTTCAGCAGGCAGACTAGTTGGAAGAAAATAAAATTCTAAAATATGTTAATGAATATTCTGTATGTAATGAATATAATGAATATACACAAAAGCCAAGCAGCATATCATCTGTAGAAAAAATCATGTGCCCCCAAACAAACAGCATTCTTTGTGGGAGCTGACAATACATGGGATTAAGGATAATCAGCAGTAATTACTCATCTGAACTTCAGAAAAGTTACTGTCTTTGCAATGTAGTTTGTCAAAGGTTTAAACAGTCAGGAAGGGACAGACTATGGTCTTTTGTGGATCAGAAAATGTTTAAAAGAAAAACAAAACTATAAACAGCTGCAGCTCAATGTGGTATAAATGTAGCATGACTGTTCTAGGAAATGTGTTGGAACTGGGGGTATTCATGTGCTTATTAAACCTCTAAAGAACACGGGAACAAAAAAGGTGATAAAACTGGTGAACAGTAGAATCTTTTGCAGTTAGTCAGATCTAGAGAGAATGCTGAAGTGCTTCAGAAGAACCTATATGAGAAAATTATACAACATAGAGAAACGATAAACAATTCAGCTCTGAATTAAAAAAAATAATAATAAATAAAATAATTACTTGTGAAATTGTCAGGCTGGCAAGTAATTGCAAGAATTCAGCAAAGAGACTGACTCTCGATGTCATTCAGAACAAATGGGGATACAGGAAAGGGGAAGAAATTTATAGGATATTCATTTTTTCAGAGATAAAAGTAACCATTGAAATTATTGAATAAATATAAATAGTATGTATAAGTATAGGGACATGATAATATGTCTACATAACTATGGTGTGCACATGTTAATATACCATAAGGGCTTTACTCTACTTTTCTCTTATGCACTTGGTACACATATCTTGGATTATCAGGCATTTAGAATGTGTGTCCTACCGTCTGCTCAATGCCCAGCCTCTGACAAGTTGCTCTAACAGTTTTAACACTGCAAAGTTTGTAAATACCTTTACACAATGGGGGGGCCTCTTGAGAGCAGATCTTTCTTGTTCCTTCATCCAGTAGTCTTAATGATTTCTCATGGACCATTAAGTTTTCTTGTTGAAGAAAACTGTCTCAGATGTTTTCTCTCCGTTTTTAGGGCCTGGATATTGTAATCTGAATTCTGCACCTATAATCATATTAGAGACAAAAGTGATTATTATGTTTCTGTCTACATTTCTTCATGATACTACATTGTATGCTATGTTGTAGGCTGACTGAAATCATGGCCCTGGGCAATTGCACTTGACTGAAATTCACTCCCTTCTAATCTTACGTAGAACTTTAGAGGTGTTAAAGGTCCAACATTGCTGCTGTTCTGGTCTTCAACATTCTGATGACATGGCACTCACATATCTGCTCTATAGCCTTAGTTTTCTGTATTTGTGATTTACATTTTATGTAACTACACCCTAAAATGGGAAAGAGAAAAAAAAAAAGTCAATGCTGAAGGTTGAATTCAGTGATGTTCCATTACATTTTCTGTCTCTTGCTGCTCTAAGAAAATGTTATGCTTGATCCTTCAAGTCATGTTAAAAAGATCTTATTTGTACTTCTTCTGCCATACTACTTTGCACAGCAACCTCATGCTCAGAGGGGAAAAACGGAGCCTGAACACAAGCCCATCTGCTCCACAGGACAAAACCCAACTTTGAGCCACAAAGTATCTCCATAGGTACAGGAACTCTATTTTGGACACTCAAACACCTCCACTCACTCTGCCCTTCTGCTGAGGTAACGCCTGACCAGCCTTTCAGTCTCATTGATGATTTTTTTTTCGTTTCTACTAAGTAACCAAAAGATGTTCTGGCTATTAGATCAAGGTTATGCTTACCAAAAATGCATTTTTCATTGGAAAATAGCAGACTGGAATTAAACACAGCATTTCTTAAAATTGCAGTCTAATCACAACTTTTGGTAAGTATACTTTTCACAAAGGACATAATTAAACCGCAGAACTCCATATCAGTAGATGATGTGCCACCTCAAGTTACCGATGAGTTAAAAAGTGATGAGAGGAAAGCTTCCTGGAAAGGCCACTGAACACAGTTAAAACCTCAGGCCCTGTAAGCACCACACTTTGCTGGAAGGCTACAGCAAGGAAAGTATTGCAGTATGTTTGCTCTCTTACGCTCCTCTATTAAGCATCTGCTGCTGGCTGTTGCTAAAAAAAGGAACTAAATGAATCAAGGAGACTGATCCAGTGCAACTCTTTTTTTTTTTTTTCCTGGGATTTTGTTTATTTCAAACTGAACAAAAGAATCACAACGCTTTCTTATTCAAACATCAGAATTATTTGCTATTGACTCATAATCTGAAAGCAATTTGAATTCTTTGGAGAAAATGGCCCTTGTACATTATTTTGTCCCAAAAGTTTTGCCAAAATATGTGAAATAAGTCAAAATGCACACAAGTGTGTGCATTCAACATGCATCAGATAATTAAAACTACAACAGGTTTAACACTTTAACTTATCCTTTTCAGATAGATCTTTTACTTTCATGTCTATATATGTATATGGAAATTAGCAAAGAGCTTATTTTTCTGTGTAGAATCTGCATATAAACAAATAAACTCATTCTTTCAGTTTTCAAGTGCACCTCTTCAGTGAATTCAGCGTGTTTTTGTTTTGAGTACCTGAAACATTTTGCAGCTCACCTTACTGTGTGACTCCCAGAAAATATATAACGTTGGGATGCGAGGAATTTCTCTGTGAATTCATTCCATTGCTGAATCCTTGTGCCTGAAGACCCCTTGTAAGATTAGATAATAGCCCTCCACGTGGTTTTCTGTTTCTTTTTTAAAAACTAGTTTTCCGTGTGTCTTTGTTAAACAAGAGATTGAAATCATCCCAAATGAATGTTGGAAGAGAAAATTTAGCCTGACTTCGGTGTACAAGACCTAAGAATCTGAAATATTGTTTGCAGGACTGATACTACAAGTTTAAGTTTACACGTAAACTATAAGTTTATACTTACAGTAAGTATAGGAAGTTTGCATTTGTGATGGCACACTGCTCTAAAATGCAACCCTTTCCATTTTATTACAGGTTTCCTTCATACAAACTTTAAAAGTTCTTTAAGAAAAATATACTCCTTTGGACACAACTTCAGAAACAAACTAAATCCATAATTGCCTCAGGAAGCACACACAGTAGTCCATCTCTGCAAATTTTTAAGCAAGTTCTTTCTAAAATAATTGCCATTAGAAATCCCTGCTCAGCATTTCTTCTTTTTAAAATAACTCTTTAAAAAAAAAAAAAAAAGGAAAGCTACCTCAACACAATGATTTATATACTTTTTTCCCCCACACTTACTAAGTTTCTGAAAAAGATTAATTGCTACTGAACCTGGAGATCAGTCTACAGCACTAGAGAACATCAGATTTAACAGCAGATTAGAGCCAAGAGAAGCCTCCAAATGCTATATGAGCAACCCACAACTTATTTTCTATTCCTAACAACAGTGAATACACACTGAGTCTGCCAGCCCTGTAATGCAAAAATTTTCAGTGTAAAACATGCACAGTAAAAAAAAAAAACAAAACAAAACACTAAATACTATCTTAACATGTATCTTAACATGCCTTGCAAATTATAAAGTTGCCGATGTTTGTAGTTTATGTGAGATCAACAAATCAAGGGGTATTTGGGGAGGTTTCTGGGAATGCCTGCCTTTGTCTTTTCATGGGCATGCTTACAGCTCTCACCCTTCCCCTGTCCCCCGGGACAAGTATAGTTCCTGTATCATCTTTTGAAGTATGCCTGAGCATATTTCTACCAAAACAGCGATGGGGAGTAGGGGAGTTTTTTGTTTGTTGTTTTGTTTTCTTTGTTTCAGTTTTGTGATTGTGCTTTTGAATTTCAGACAGGATGACTAAATGTACTGTTTTAGTCCATTCTGCAAGGACTAAACTAATGAAGTGCTAATTAACTTTCCAGCACCTATAAAGAGGTAATTCACTCATCCCATCTCCCACTGTAAACTGCAATGGCTATTAGCATGTAAAGGACTGCCAAGTCCTATAATAAGTGTTACAGTCATAAATAGCAAATAAATACTGATAAGCATTGTTAGTAAGAGCAAAGAAAGAGACCAAATAAAGATAAGAGTGTTCTTAACAGATGATTCAATCTGGGTACCTTGCTCTCCTTCCCCGCTGAGGCTGTCGTGTGCTGCAGTCACGCCTCTCAGCTGCCAGCCTGCACTGGGATGATAATCAGTCACTATGAAAACTCATTAGCTCCACAGCAATGAGCCCTCCACTGCTGAAGCTTGGTGCTGTTCTTAGTACCGTGGCAATGATCTCTAACTGGATGTCCCAAACTCTCCCATCTCTGGTAGGACTAAATACCACCAGACTACCCACTTCAGTAAGTAGCTGTGATGTGTTGCAATCCATCTGAATGCTGAGCAAATATAAGTGCCAGCAAAAGCTTTACTCTGTTGCCTCTCTGTGAATCTTTTTAGAGTACTAATCTTCCTATCATCACTTAATGCATGCTTCTTTTTGGGCATCATAAATCTGCACATTGGTGAGCATGTTGTGGTCTTACTATGAAAGAAAAGATTTTAAAATAGCATCCTTAAATATTTAAGAACAAATGCCTTCATCTTGAGGGTGAAATGCTAAAAATAGCACAGCAATGCCATTTCTTTTGCTTCGATATTTTGCCTGTTTACTGCTCCAGAAAAAAAAAAATGTACTGCATTATTAAGGAAAACAGGTATCAGAAGATTTCTTTTTAATTTTTGTCTGATTAGTGCTATACATAAGCTATTGACTACAATATTCAAGGAGCCTGATCCTTTCTTATTTTTTCCTTTATTGGAGCATGGTTAAGCAAACAAATAGCTGATAAAATAAAATTGGTACTAGGAAGCTGGGTATCAGAACTTTATAAAGGTAATTGTACAAATAACAAATATCAGCTTGTATGTTTGATGCTCATATCCAACAGCCTCTGTTAATTAAGACCTACAGAAAAGCTGTGATTAGCTATTAATGAAAAGTGTAAAAATTAAAGTAATAGTTTAGCTAGGAACACTATCCTAGTTATAAGTTATCTGTAAGTTAAACTAGAACACATTTTTTCTAGATGGTTAGTAAAACAATTTTATTATAACTGCAGTCAGATGTTTGTATGATAGTGTGTTATGTAAAAGATATAGTTAACTGTTTGTACAGTAGAGCACAATATACAGAACTTAATTTTTCAGTTGTAAATAAAAATGCATTAACTAATCAACATTTAATTAATTGAATATATGCACACAGGAAAAGCATTACTGCAGAAAGTCACTTCATTTAGACTTTAAATACCACTACTTTAAATTTAATTATATTGTAAGAAACAATTCTTATAAGTTTTAGAGCATCAAGGTGAAAAGACAAGGAAAAGCTCCAGTTTGTTTTCTATAAATGGAGTTTATGCCCACTGACCTACAATACAGTTTGCTAGTTCTTGTGGCAATGTGATATTATAAGAAATAAGGTTCCCTATCTAATTTAAATCCAAGTTTAAGGTTGCAATTGAGTGGCAAAGAGGTGCACACTTGTTGTTGCAACATGTAGGCATATGTATATTTACACACTAATATATGATTATATATATTGTCATTTTCAAATTCCAGGTAGCGTAAACTGCCATGCCTCGCATGGCTTCATCGGAACACTGATGTTACAAATGCCTCCTGAGTATTATTTTAGTAATGCTCTTCAAACTCAAACATTGGAGTTATATGCACATTTTGGGTTTCAAGAGGGCTAGCAGGAGTGCCTGGAGAGCTGGGGACACAAGCACAAAAACCCGATTATCTGAGCTTGGCAACATCCTGCCAAGTGGAAAAAATACCATCTTCAATCAGGTGGCGTGTTGTTATAGAACTAGCACCACAAATCTGCTGCCTTTTTCTAAACTTCAGCTTCTAGCTGAGACTTTATGGCCCAGGTGCTCAGCGATGCTGTGGTCATCACTACCTGTTTTTTAATTGGCAGCAGTCAATTAAAGTTAGCTGTCAAGTTAGTGTCATCCCCTGGCAGCTTCTCTAGTGAACAGGTGCTGCGCAAGCGGTTCTCCAGAAGTTCTCTCCTATACACAGCTCAAAAATTGCACATCTTGCACCAGGAAAAAAGAGCAAAACCTCCCCATCTTTATTAACATTTTCTCCTCCCCTTGCTGGAAGAAATGTAGGGTCAGGGGAAAGACCCCCCTCTTCAGCAACGTTTCACTCCCAGGACCAAAATCCTACGACTGACAAGTATTGTTCTATTTAAGCACTGATACTGAGTATACGTGTTTCCATTTGCCCAATTACTAGTAACAATGGAGGCAGCTATAGCAGCTTTATCAGAATGTGAGTGCAAGTGAAAAAAATTAATCTTTGTAAGGTAAGTAAAGTGACTGTAACTCAGCAGCCTGCCAAGGCAGATTAATATGGCTCTTTGTAGAGACTCTTCTGTTTTCCCCAGATTTCCAAGAACTAGAATGATTTGTCTTCATTGCTGCTGTTCACCACTCGTTATTTCTTTTCTCGTTTGTTGACTAAGGCCTGTCAGCAGTAAGCCTGCGTTTGGAGACTAGATTCAGCAGCTTTCAAAAGGTTTTGATGCATTCTAGCTCTTTCCATGTGGCACAGCAGTTTCTGCTTGAGATAGGCATTAAATGACAAAGAAAATTAAAAAAAAAAAAAAAAAAAAAAAAGAGAGAGAGAGAAAAAAAGCTAAGTGCACCTACCTGCACATGCTTATTTTTCTCTGTAATTATTCATATTACCCATCCTAGTTAACAAAGGTACCCCAATAGCATGCACACAGGTAACAAAGAATACCAGAAAAAAAATGTAGCCCACACTGGAGCTGCTGTCTCAGCACTCATTTCCGCATGGGCAGCCCATCACAACGCATTCATATTATGCCTGAAGGTCTTTCACTGTGAAAAATATTTTCCCAAATAGCTACTTCATTTTTTATTTTTTTTTAAATCAAGATATATGTTAAGTGCCATAAGAAAATATCAGCCAAATTAATCAATAAACATTATTTTCTCAGACAAAACACACCGATACATATTGTTAGCATATACAAATACCTTTGACAACACAGCATGGACTGTAATTGCTTTACTACAGACCATGCACAATCCTGCTATCGCATCCATTCTCCACTGCAGAGAACTCTATTCACTCGAATGCAGTAAAATCTGTTGCTATCAACCAAAAATAGCAGGTATCGCAAATATCACAGTTTATTCATAAACTATACGGAGTATTTCTGTTCTGTAGGAATTATAATTGCAAGCTTTAGGCTCCTGAACTTCAACAAGAGGTTGCTCTTGTATGGGCACACTGGGCAGCCTTTCTACAGAGCAGCATGGGAACTTGTGAACAGAGCTTACACTTCACAAGGGTCACCAGCTATAAGAGGTTTCAGTTGTTCTAGCTTGCCATTTTAGTAGCTGCTCAAATCTAATTTAAATTATCTCTCCAGTTGTAAGTTTGGTTAGATTTTATTCTTCTCCATGTGTTAAACTAGATCACCTGTGCCCTAAAAATTAAGGCTGCAAGAGCACAACAATTTAGCACTGACCTCTGGATATGCCTTTCTATCAAACCCAGGTTTGACTGTCCTCTGTTTAGTCATCTACGTTATGATACCTTATTCTTCCTTCCAAAACAAGGGAACAATACAGTTCTGAATTGTTTTAGTTAACTCCACAGTAAAAGAGGTCACTGCTGTCTTCAATGACTTCTTCAAAATAGACACTGTGGGGGACAAAAAGTCTATGCTCTTCTCTAACATTGCGCTGATACTCAGAAAAATATTGCTACCTTTCCTTCTGACCTCAGTCTACAGAGATACTGCACCTTTTCTGAGGCACGGAACTATGCAACTTACTCCTCACTAAGCATCAATATCAAAGCTTGCCAATTTTAACAATCACTCTTTGTGCTGACACCGAGTAGAATTTCATACTAAAATTAATTTATTCCAACTTTATCCAGACCAAAAATATTTCAGTGTCATCCATTAGCAACTGCACTGTAAAATTCAGCAGCCAATATAGTATTATTAGAAAAGAATAATGCAGAATATTAGCTTGAAATTACAGCCTGAAAACAGTCAAAATATTTCTGGTGCCAATTAGTTTTCATTCCCTCACCTGAATTTGTTCGATCATCTGATTATGGTGCTTTGTCTCGTTCTGATGCTGTGCATTTCTATAAATCCCATTAAGCAGACAGTTACCTACTCTTGCAAGGTATCACATGAGCTTTAAAGGCAGTGTAGTGTTGGCCTGCTCTGAAATACAGTTTTTTACTTTGCTCTTCTTGGTGGTGGTGGTTGCTGACAAAGAACAGGTTCGGAATTTCTAAAATTCCTGTGCCAGTAAAGGACAGTGTGATGCCTTTCCTGCCCTGTGCCATGCCTGCCATCACCCCCCATCACCTAAACTAACCTAGTACTTTTCAGTACTGCCCCCGTCTTCCCTTTGGTGTACGTGTAGCTGAAGTCAACCAAGAAGAGTTTTCTGTGCTGCAAACCTGCTAACACACCTCCAGAACCACTTCCCAGCCAATTCCCTATTGCGTGAGTCACACAGACTGTGCTTTCTCTTTGGGATTTTGTATTTGTTCTTTTCTGTCTTTGTTGTTTCCATTAGTCTAAAGTAAAAGTCATTCAAGCTGAAAGGACATATTTGTTCTCTGTTAATGAAAAACCTTACCGTCCCTCTGCAAAGAATTACATCAACCACTTGTGCTGAATCACTAACAGGAAACTGCTCTCACCCACACTGGAAACAATGCTCAGAGACTCTGCTGCAGATGTGCAACATGGCAAAACTGTGCAAAATCACCAGCCTAATTAGTTAAGAGGATAATGAGTGATGACTAGGAGGAACCTCACTGCAAATATATAATGCAAACAATAAAGAAAAATAGGTGGTGTTTTCAAACAGCAATTAAATCTATTCTGTTCCCTTTATTTTTATTGTTGTTGTTGTGTTACAGACTCAGATTAGCCCCAAGGAAGGGTGGCAAGTTTATAGTTCAGCCCAGGATCCTGATGGCCGTTGCATTTGTACTGTTGTTGCACCTGAACAAAACCTATGTTCAAGAGATGCCAAGAGCAGACAACTTAGACAGCTGCTAGAGAAGGTAAGTCTTCCCAATGAATTTCTCCTTTTGATCACTGAACTTCCCTGGAAATCCACTCCTGCCTCTCTAAGTTTAATATATAATGGTGCCCTGAAGCGTTATCTATAAAAACATTCCTTCAGGGTATATCCCCTACCTGTGTTTTCAGCACTTATCGTAATTTGTCTGTTTCCCTCATAGCACACCTCTGTCAACCCAAGCCACTTATCTAGCAAACTGAAGTTGCGTTTTCTCTTGCTCATTCCCCAAACCCTTTCTTACACACATACAGGACTGACTTTCCCTGTGTCAAAACAGTTACAAATCCCACCTTAAACTTCCTCGTTGTTGTGGGATTTAAACTACAGCTCCTGCTTCAAACGTGTAAGTCTCTTGAAGGTCATTCCTTGTCTCTTATCAGCAAATAATGAGATACAGACATGACAGCACCATCAAAGCAGACCGTACAGATGAGAAACAATTCTAAGTTATTTTTATTTCTTATTTCCTCAGTTAATACTATTTATTTCATTCTCCGGTGGTGCAAATTTTGTCTAAACAACCCAATTCTTATTCCCACTATTATCCACTCTTGTTTATATATTAAAATTAGTAAACTGTTATTTTGTATGAACCGAAAAAAACACTGCAACCATGAAAACACAAACTATTATTCTGCATTCCCTGTGTAGGTAACCAAGTTTATAGTTACTGTGTAACAGCTAGTAGTTCATACCCTGAGGGACTGAGACAGAGCATTTGAACAGCAACAGCAGAAAGCAACATAAAATGTAGACCCCCCCCCAAAAAAATGCATTTTTCAGCATACAATTTTCAGTATTTTTTCAGCTATAGAAAAATCACACCAATGCTAAATCCAGCAGATGTTCCCTTCATAAACCTCCATGAACTTCAGGAGGGACTTAATTTCAGTTTTTGACAGAGTCCATAGCATGACATGTAACTAAGTAGTTTTAGAAACTTCCCAAAAACAATCCCTTTCTCAGAAGAAAGTTTTTCAACTTATGTAAAATGTAAAGGAGAAAAGTAGAAATGTAGAAAGTAGAAATGTAAAGGAGATGGGAGGACAGGCAGTCATGTTTGCTCCTGATACCCATCTTCAGTTATTTCTCCTTGCCCTCTCCTCCACAGAATATATTAACAGGTTTTAATGAGCTGTTTTTCCATCTCAGGGTCCCAAGGAAATAAAACATCAGAATTTTTCCAAGCTAAATACGTAGGTGAGGGTAGAGTCTCCTAGAATGGGGTTCACACCACCTTCATATTGTTCCAAAACTGATAAAAATCCCAGCCAAACTCAATTAGTTGGCTTTCCACTTACCATCTATGACAGGAGGTAGGAACGATCAAAATTCAGGATCAGACCTAATTCAGTAAACGTGTTAGCTATGACCGCCAAACAGCCAGTAATTTTTAAGCCTAATTAATGTTTTTCATCTTTAACAACAAGCCTGCCCTCTTACTCACCATTCCTACAGATTTCATGGTACTCAGCAGATGCAGCTTGAGAACAGGTACAAAATGAAGTCACAGAGAAAAACCTGTGGCTTTGTGTGTCAACAAAAATACCTACAGACCTGTGGACCATGTGTGTCACCACAAAACCGAAGAACTACTTGCTTGCTCAACAGTTGGAAAGCAAAGAAGAAATAAAAACATTACTTTTTCACTTAAAAATACTTCTAGGAACTGCCAATGGCAACTGTCCAAAAGCTGATTTGTACTATTTTAGGTATATATTTTTCTGAATCCCCGCAGTCCGTAGGTTACAACATATTAATTTCAAATACAAATATTAGTTTAAATTTTACATGCTCTTGCAGACAACAGGAGTACTGCTACTTTTGTGGTTTATTAGGAAGGTCAATTTTTTTTTTGAGACAAAACTTCAATACAGCACTTAATATTCTTTTTTTTTTTTTTCATAGTCCACTTTTTTCCTGTTTTAGTGGACGGAACACTTACTGTCAAATAATAACTGCATTTGCAAAATGTGTCATGTTTATGACTGGGAAAAACATTGCTTTTATAATAGGTACTGCTAGATAATTATAATTATCTATATATAGATATATATATCCATATATATTATATAGATATATAATATAACTACTCCAGATGAAAAGTCCTTGCCTCATTTTAGTGAAAGTGCTAAATGAGGTCACTTGCAGTACTACAGTTTCCTGAACAGTCACTTATCTATAAAAAATGATTTTCTACTATTAAAACAATTGGCTGAAGTTTCTAATTTTATACTTGTAAAACCACAAGCAAATCCCAATTTAATGATGGTCCCATCCCAGCTTATCTCTGGACAGTCTCATGTATTCCTTATAGTGAATTATTATACCAATGCCTACTAGGTATGAAAATCACACTCTTCGTAACAGCCCAGAAATTTTCTCCTAATCTTAGTCCTGTTCCTCAGGTGGAGGAGGAAACACATGGTGCATGGAGCATCCTGAAGAACAGGCAGCATCTACTACAAAAGACAAAGTAGCCTCTAACAATTAACAGCATTTTTCCAGCCCATCGAAAATGGTGCTGAAAGGATCCCCCTCTCTACCTCAAAGAAACTATCCAAATACTCTGTGGCTCTAAGATCTCAGTCCTGCTAGCCCTCTGTTAGCGCTGTTCCCCAATTTTTGTACTGTCATGCAGTTATGGAATTTAAAACCTATACTGTGGTATAAATGGCTCACAGCTAAAGCCTTGACATAAGTACATTTTATTGCCTGACATTTAACTATCTAAGCAGGAAAAAAAAAAAAAGTAAAGCAACAAAAAGTGCATTTAGAGAGTGTTCTTCTTTAACAGGTTCAGAATATGTCCCAATCTATTGAAGTTTTAAATCTACGGACTCAGAGGGATTTCCAGTATGTTTTAAAAATGGAAACACAAATGAAAGGGCTGAAGGCCAAGTTTCGGCAAATTGAAGATGATCGGAAGACATTAATGACAAAGCATTTTCAAGTAGGTTTTATTTTAACAATAACTTTGAAAGCCTGCTGGAAGCGATGTACTAAGCAGCAATGCATGGACTGCTAAGATCTCAGCTTGAAATGTTCATACAAGAGCAACATTAAAATGAAAAGCGTAATAAGATTTCCTTTATGATAATAATCTTTTGCTCTGTTCAATTTAATTGTACTAGGAAGTAACCATTAATTATTAAGATATTGGAGATATGTCACTAGAAACAGATTCCTGTTTTTCCTGTATCATTGTGCATGTCATACTGAGAAATTTATATTCATTCAAGCTCCAGTGATAAATGGGCAGATCCAATGGAATTAATAGCAAGTAACTAGAGAGTTCTGCACTTTTACTGCTGCCTGACATTCACTGCAGTTGAAGGGAAGAAAGCCTATAATAAATCAGGTTGTTGTAATTTTTATCCAGTAGAATTAAGATCTAATTTCATGTCTGAAGGTTTGCTATTCTGAGTTTGGGATAGGGGAGGAGGGCAATCATTCCCAGTCGCATCTGTATGATTAAAAAAAGACTTCTAAGGAATTTTAATGACAAGAAAAAAACACAAGCCAATCTTTTTGTGAGGAAGGAGAGTTGCAAAGATTACAAAACAGCTTTGTGTATTCTGAGAGGAAAAAAAAAAAAACTATTTGAAGTACTTTTAAGGAGAAAAATTTACAAAAACATAGTTAAGTTCTTCAAATATCAAGTCTGATAAACAGTATTTCAGGTTGAAACACAGCAAGATAGGATCTAAAAAACATATTACAAAGATTAAATTAACAAAATTTATATTTAAACCCTCCATGAAACACAAAATGGACATATTTTTCTAATCAGCACTAAAGTTACATACCTAAACAATTACATAGCTAATTTATTTTCCAGAGACACTGAATATTCTGGACTTAATAACATCAAGAATTAAACACATTAATGATCTGACTACCAAACATTATTCTTTGTCATCACTCTTCATATAGGAGGCTGAACACATACTTCTAGTAATTTTCAGGTAGTAAAGCTCTGCAATTTTTCCTTTTATCACTCATTGCTACAACACATTTCTATAATGCCATTATATATTCTTTATCCTCATAATAGTTTTTCTTGGACAAAATATCAAAATTTGACTGTCTGATATGTGATGTCAAAGGTAGCAGACTCCTGCAGTATTCTAACCTTTTAAATATTCAGCATTTATATTGGTCAGACATTTAACCTCAGTTTGATAGTTTGCCAGGAGCATAAAGCAGATTTCCAGCCAATCAAATGATAGAGGAATTTAGAAGGTCAACATCACACAACATGCTGCTGGCTTTCTGAAATTCAGCCTACTAAAATTCCAGTGCTTTATCTTACCTGAGACACAGGAACTTCTTGATATAACAAAACCCCTCACACCAGCAGGTGCAAAGCACCAGAATATGCCTACCACCCATTCATTTTGCAGTACAATTTAGTTCCTGTGCCACGGATCACAGCAACAAGTTAGGAACGTCAGCAAACACTATGGTTTTGGTTTTGTTTTGTTTTTCATGAAAACACCAAAAACATCTTTATATCATTTACTGAAGTGGGATGTTTTATGCTATGGTTCCATGTTTCTGAGAGCCAAATAGAACAAATTTGATCCAGGTCACACTTGAGAATATGGTCATATTTCTGTCAAATCAGCATTCATGCCAGGCAAAAGATATCTGGTCCCCCCCAAAAAAGTTACAGCAGTTTGCTCAAATGATACCTCATCTGACATAAATTCTGTCAGGAATAAGCTACCTCCACTAATTCTCCTAAACTCATCATCTTGCTGAGTTTTATTCTTCCATCTATGGTTTACCCATGATTTTTGACTGCTTACTGCCCCTAGAACCAAAGCCTAAGTTCATCATTTCAAAATCAAATATAAACTTTGGCTTTTGGAGCTCTGCATTCCACATCACAAAACCTAGTCTCGTTGTTATCAAGAAAGACACAACTGTTTGTTTTTTACAGATATATTAGGCTCAAGATGAATTTTTAATAAGGATAGTCAAATAAAAAATAGTTTTAACTGTAGACAAAAACTCTTCATTTCTTCCTGTCCACCTCAATAATTCTGCTAATATTCTATAATTGGAAGACCCTTTGAGAACAGAGCCAAAGATACAAAGAAAACTTCTGATGGTTTCTAATCCATTTATAACAACATATCTCTTTGTAATTTAAAATGCCACTTTCTAGATATTAAGATAACCTGCATGCAAACTATTCTTCCAACTCCACATATAGGCCTTTATTTTGAGCAAATAATAATTCCAATATGAAAACCATTGTTAAAACTGCATGGATGAGCGGAGTACTGAAGAGATGTAGAACTCTCAAGCTGTTCTAGAACACGTTTGAGAGGTAAAAACTCAGAGGCAGATCTTCAAGCAAATCTAATGCCAACCCTGACTATCAGCTTCTTTCACATCTCCTCAGTAGAAAAGCATTCTGTTTGACATTATGTTATTTATTTTGAAAATGTTTTACCATGTTTATTGCATCCATTTATATGAGTGATGTAACAAACTGTACGTATCTCCGTGCATCTCATTGACTATACTAACTAATGACCACATTTGCTTCTGCACCTCTTCCTTGTGCTTGGGCATCCATTTAGTTCTCTTCTGCTTTCCCTTTTAATCTGCTGACTATTCCATCTATTCCTTCAGGACTCCATTTTCTAATCTCTTCAATAGCCTCTCCCTGTGTGTCCTCATCCATTCTCAGTCTCTATTATCACCTAATATTAGTACCTAACAAGTCTCTATTTCCACCCTTTTTCTTGTTTTGTCCAGGCTTGCATCTCCTCATGCCTCTGGCATTTGCTCACAGAAGTCCTGCTGTTTTCTCAAAATATAAACAGATATGCAAATCAAGGGCAAACCTACAAGCTTTTCATAAAGCAAAACCTTTTGATTGCAAGGATTCTTTGAGGTTATCTACAGAAAAAAAAATAAAATAAAATAAAATAAAATAAAAATAAAAAGAAAGAAAAAAATAACCTCAATCTAGACTAATTTAGTAAAGATTAAGTTTACTGCATTTAAAAGAATTATTACAAAAACAAAATATAAGCAGTCATTATAAGTTACAAAGAGAAATTCTCAATGTACATGACAAAAGTCTGAGAAAGGGGCAACCAAGAATTCCCAAGTGGAGCCTTGCTTTCCTTAATCGATATTTAGGAACAGGAGTGGTGACAAAATACCAACTGCACATAGCAATAAAATGATTTGCTACAGTCCAGAACAAAGAACGCCTGAGGAAGTTCAAAGGCACCTAGTGATGTAGAAGTACCACAAGTACAAAACAGTTTAAGAACCATGGATTTTTCACTTCAGAAGAAAGAGATATATATCACTGTGTCCAGATCAGAACTAAACAGGGTCCAACAGATATTTAGGAAAAAATGAACTCAGTATTTCTAAGGAGTGAAATAAAAATGAACAGCTTACCCACTATAGAACAGGTGTGATGTTTTTGACTGTCACCAGGTGTTCAGGTCTAATCACCTTTTCTCAAGAAAGATACAGTCCATGGGGGTTTATATCCTCTGGATGGAAAGTCAGACCCTCAACAGGTCTGGTTCAGATCACTGGAAGGTAATCATATACCTCAGTAGAAATAAACTGTCATCTCACACGTTTTGTCTACTGCTTACTGCCATTAATTCTGAGATTTCTAAGACTTTCACAGTACACTGAAATAATAGCTCTAACTAAAATCAATAGTCATTTTTGAGTCATTTTAATAATCAGGCATAAATATTACATAACAGGGAATAAGAGGATTTAATTCCTTTAAACTGCTCTAATACGCATTTGATTACCTTTAACAGGAGTTGAAAGAAAAGATGGATGAGCTCCTGCCACTGATCCCAGTTCTGGAACAATACAAAACTGATGCCAAACTAATCACCCAGTTCAAGGAAGAAATTAGGAATCTGTCTACTGTCCTCACTGGGATTCAAGAAGAGATTGGTGCTTATGACTATGAGGAACTACACCAGCGGGTGCTCAGTTTAGAAACCAGGCTTCGAGACTGCATGAAAAAGCTCAGTAAGTTTACTGTTTCTTGTCAGATTTGATCCCACAGCTGTACATTTTTGGTTTTCTCTATAGCAGGATGAAGTTTTCTTTTTTGATGAAAGTCTGAGCTATATTCAGGAAAATTAAGAAAACATTTAGGAAAAAATTCTTCACCAAAAGGGTTGTGAAGCATTGGAACATGCTGGCCAGGGTAGTAGTTGAGTCACCATCCATGGAGGTATTCAAAAAATGTGTAGATGTGGTGCTTACTGGCATGGTTTAATGGTGGACTTGGTAGTGCTAGGTAAAAGGTTAGACTAGATGATCTTAGAGGGCTTTTCCAATCTCAATGACTCTCTGATTCCATACTCTGATCTGTGCTACCCTAAAAAATGTCAAGAGTAACTCCTCTTAAGGTTAGTCATACCCCTCAAAATTTGCGCCAGCGTATTTTAGATAATTACCTACCCTACTTTATACAAAAGGAACTGAGATGGAAAATTATAAAAGATAGCAACTTTAAATCTAAGAGACTTACAACTCATTGGAGAGATACAAAGGTTCTTTCTAAAAAGTTCAGACAGGCTTTTCTATTTAAGTCATTTTTGGTTCATCAGTGTGAAAAAAAAAATAGTCAGAAGTAGACTGGAATCAGTTTGGCACTGTCCACGATACAAATCTTGCTATGACACCTGAGAGCCCACTCCAACTGCACTGTCTTTAGACCTGTAATACCAGCATTAAGACAGATATGCCACTTTCCCATTTGGAACACAACAAAATTAGCATTATATCTAATTTAGTGGAGTAAAGCATGATTTTTTTTTTTGAAAACACAGCAAAAATCCATCATGAGCACTGCACTAGATTTACATCAGGCAGCCCCCATCTTTATTGCTCATGTTGCTGGCTTTCGTTAGAAACAGTTGATGTTCAGCATCTCCAAAAATCAGCACTAGCTCAGTAGTAGCTACCAAAACTAAAAGTCTGAAGTATCGTTAAGTGTCAACCTTAACTTCCATTACGCAAGCAGGGTAATTGGTACCCACCCACTCTGCAGCCATGATGCAAAGTCTGCCCTCAGAATGCACGCACTGACTCTGAGAAACCTGATTACAGCGCTACTATGGAAATCTTGGTCGCTATAGCTAACAATCCACCCCCTCTATGAGAAATAAATGCTTTGTAAGTTAAGAAGGAAAATAAATAAAATAGAAGCTCCTAGGTTCAATCCTGTGATCAGTATCTCAGTTATCAGGTGGGGGATGTTTACTTTTGAAGGCTATGCATGATGTTATTAATTTGATAGGCAGTGCTATTTTTGTGAGGCAATGGAATGAGAAAAATCTAGGTTAGGTTATCCTCAAATTATTTATTCTCAGTTTCTTTGTTTTATACTAGAAATAACGTAGTGATGATGGGCTAAGTAAATGAAAGACTTCTTCAAACAGAAACTTGTTATAATCCTATTTTCCTCTCAGTGCACATATTACAGCACACTACTGCATTGGCAGAAGGCAGTCAAGAGAAAGTGGCCGCATTACAATACTGCAGCAAACAAGCAAATTCATATAAACAGTATTTTCTGATAGTGAGCATTCCAGTAAGTTTATTAGGCAACAAAAGACCATCATCACATTAACAAGCATTTTATTTTTATTTTATGAAGTGACTAGAGTAGAGGATGCATTTTAAAATATCACTGGGGTATTCATATGACCAGAAGTATTCATATGAAGGATCTCTTCTCCTTTTCTTATTTCCTATTTCCCTAATTTTTAGCCATGTTTCCCCTCCTATCTACCCTGAATTCCTGTAGCACATTCTATTTCTCTTGATTAATAATGCAGAAAAATTATATATATTAAAACTATATATTATATATATTAAAAAACTATAAAAAACTATATATTATATATATTAAAACTAGAAAATATTTTTATGAAATAGATTACTGAGCACATCCATGCCACCAATGCATTCCAGATAAACATAACCTGTTCCTAACACATGGATGGCTCCCTGGACATCCTTTCTCCTTTAAATTCTCTGAAGCATTTGTAGTGGTTCTAGCCAAGAGGGATTTAATTGTTTTACCTAGCATCCTGCATGCTGCTGTGATTAGGATTTGTGACTAAAGCAGTGTTGATAATACCAATGTTTAGCTAGTGTTGAGCACTACCTGCACAACATCAAGGCTTTCTCTTCTTCCTACTACTGAGAGTAGGCAGGGGATGGGCAAGAGGCTGCGAAGGAGCACAGCTGGGACAGCTGACTCAGGTTGGCCAAAGGTTTATTCCTTGCCATGTCACAACATGCCCAGCAATAAAAACGGAAAGGTTGCTTTCCAAGGTAGCTGCAACTCAGACTGTCTGGTCACCAGTCTGCTTGCGGTGACTGATTGCCTTTGCAATTTCTTTTTTTTTTTTTTTTGGCACTTCCAGTTCTCACCCCTTTTGCACGAGGAGGTAGGGAAGTAAGCGAGTGGCAGTGTCAGGGTCAACCCACTGCAGTCCCATAGCAAACTACATAACCACATTTTCCAAAACCCCAAGACAGGTGCAATTTGAGGTAACAATAACGTAACACGGTGTCATCTAGGAGGTCTATTATCAATCTGGTATTTTCATATTAAAGTTGCAACTTCTTTACGTATTTTAAAATTCAAATGTGTTGCTTCTAACTCTTTATTATAAGTGTTTTGGTCTTTTCAAGCACAAATACAGACTTATTCATCCTTATTATTTGGACGTAGATGCTTAAATGACTATCCTTGCACACCCTTAGAATTAGTCTAAGAACTGCTTAAGTTAGGATCTCTGAGAGCAACTCCTTGCAAACGGTAGCGTGAGCCCAGATCAGCAAGCACAAATGAAAAACAGCTCTCATGCCTCCCCCCTCTCCCAGCCATATTTACCATGCTGGAGGTGACCCAGCTGTGACTGCCCATGCCAGTCTGATGGCCTATGGCAGCAGAAGGCAGACTGGCCCCAATGTGCCACAGGATCTGCCTTGAACCTTCACAGATTTTGCTGTGTTTCACAATATAATTATCTAACCAGTGTGTGTAATAGCTATTTTCCATTCTTGTCCCTAGCAGGTGTTTTTCAGCATTATAATGCATTATTTATACTGTCCTGGCCACTTAAAAGAGATCTTCCATCTGCACTGGCAACACTTTCAACGCTCATTAGCATACAGTAAGCAGTTGTCTCCCTTTCACTGAGATGTAATGATTACCATAGCAGTTGTGTTGACTGAAACTTGCTCCTTCTCTTTGGAGTAAGAGAAAATTCAGACAAAAGCTGCTGAGAAATTTAGCCATAAAACTGCATGCAATTAAACCTGTAGAGACAGTGCATATGACTGCGCACACCACAAGGTCACACACACTTCTGCACGTACAGGTCTGTCACTGGCAGCCACGTACATGCTTGTGTAAGACAATGCAGCTTGCGCAGTAAGTCTGGGACCCTTTGATTCTTGTCATAATCTGTTTAGTGCAATGAATAAAATGACCTAGCTGGCATTCATCGAAGCCAATATTCTGCCAAATATTGCTTACGAAATAAGTGGTTCAAGCAGATACACATTGGATTCATTTACATATATATCTTATAACAAAATCCAAACAAGATTTTACATTCATATTTTTGGTTAAAACTTCAAAAGTACAATATTCCATTTATCCAAAGAAATGCTGTTATATCAGTAGCAGAAGATGTTTTACTGCACACATAAGATTACTTTCTATTGCAAGGGTACTTGCACTTCCAAGGCATCCTCACCAGTGGGATTTCGAGAGCTTTACAAATGTCATTTAGTACAATCTGTGCAAGGGAGAGATGTATCATTATCACCTTCTTGTAGATGAAGAAAAAAGTCAGGAAGGAAAAGTGACTTTGCCAAAGATTACCTAGCAAGTCATTGCACACATGCAGTAGGGATCCAGAGTTTCCTCTCAGCAAGCTCTAATAATGAGACTGTAGAGCTTCCTGGATTTGTGTTATGTATGACAACAGACATGCACCAATTAAGTAAGAACTAATTCTACTTTGTAATGTGAGGGAAAGAAATGTTACAACAAATTTGATCATAAGCTGGAGAGTGAAAGAAATAAAGTACTTGGAATTGGTTTGTGCAACCACTGAAAAAAATACTCACTTCATTTTCCCCTCTTTATTACCTGCAATAAATAGAATAATAATGCTTATGAACACTTCAGGAGGATGTTTTGGTTGCTTTGATTTTATTTCCCTTTCAAGTCCTGCTATAAATCATACACTCACTTGGTAGATGTAGCAGCTACCAATATTCATTTGCATCATGGCAGCTAGGAATATCAACTATCTTTCCTAGCTATCTTCAAAACAGCTTCTGTCCAATTGGTTTTCACAACCTTCTCCTGGTATTTGCTCACTTTGGAACAGCCTTCCAGATGTTTTCTGCCCCACAGATGTTTCCGGCCTACAGAAGCAGTACGTTTACTTTTTTTTTTTTTAAATGGCCAATACATGCTTAACTTCTTCCCTAATATAAATACACAAAATCACAAGCAGAGTTATTGAAGTCCATGGTGCAAAACTGTTACAAAGAGAGGCCATGAACACCCAGACTGTGCGTCACATGTTCCTTGTACAGTCCCATTTAGGATGGATAAATTCTCAGAGGTTTGATTTTCCAATTACTACAATGAGTTATCGTTAGGACTTTCTCAGATAGTCAGCTGCTTCTTTCAAAGTCAAGGAAAAGAGACCAACATTGCTTCTAAAAATCCCACTCTATGTAACACCAACTGAACCTTTTAGTGGTGAGAAAAATGCCTAGAAATATCACTTTTTTTCCTATTTATTCTCTATGTTCCTGAACTTTCTGACATTTGCTAGAAACACAAAACCTTTCTTTCATTAGATATCTACTGAGTGTCATAAGAAAGAGCTCCCTTTTTTGTTTGTACTGAAAGAATGAAACAGCACCAAACTTTTCTCTATATAGATAATTTTGTGCCCATTAATTCAGCTCTTTTTATTTTAGTTTGCTGGTCTGTTCCCCTCCCAATTAAGCCAGTATTCTAGCTCAAATAGTGTACTGCAGGTGCTCTCAGTTACTCTGCCTCAAAATTTTCTTTTCATATGATGAGACCCAGACAAGCTCTAATTGAAAAACTCACCAGAAGTCGCGTCAGGCTCTGCCACACTGAACGTGAGAAGCTCACCTACCATCTCACCTACCATCTCCTTCCCATTGCCAGGCAGCAAGGCACAGGGGATTGAGACAGAGATATAGAATTTGACCCCCCATGTCATACAGCAGGAAAGCTATACCTTTGCAGTCACATTTTACAAGAACAGCAGGGGTACTGTGAATACAAATCCTAGGACAGAAAAGTATTCTTGTCTCTTCAAAGATTCACCAAGGACTAGAGAAACCACCAAAATGGTAACAAAGCTTGAAGCCGACAGACCCAGTAGACAGTTCCCATTTCCCAAGCAGGAATCCTCTGATAAAGATGTTCTGAGAATAAAACCCAAGGGTTCTAAGAGTCACCAGGGCACTGGGGCAGCTGGGAATCCCCGGGTTGTCTAAGACAATCCCTATCAGGTTTAACAGATGCTAGCTCAGAAATGCTTCTCATTTCATACGGTGTTTTTCCGTTATGCTTTCCTACCTAGAAACCAAGATAAAGAAAAGTCTCAGTGGGAAACTCTTTGGAGTTTGGGGTGTTTGGTTTGTCTGTATGTTTGTTTTTAATTTCAGACTCCTAGACATGCCATGCCACAGATGTTTTATGTAAATAATACTGCTTTTTCAATATATTAGCATCACCACACCCTAGCAAGAAACCTCGGCATGCAAGATCAATTTTAATATAGTTACATGAACAATTATAAGGTTCATATTGCAAATATAGGCTGGGATTAAATCAACACATTTCACACTTAGGTAGAGGAGAAGAAGCTGTTTCCAATTCTGGCGGAGGAAGGAGGAAATTTTCTTGCACTAATACAAAGTTGGAAGTATTTACAACTACACAGAAACACCTTGCTTTGTCAGTGAACTCTTAAAGACTGTATTGAGCTTTATTCTTGAAAGAGCTCTCATTCATTTCCTTTCTGTATCAAATTAAAGACTGGGCTTGGGCAAGCTATAAAGGGATTATCTTCATAAAGTCAGTAACACTAATTATATCAGTGTTAAACTGCATTTTATAGCATCATGTCATCAAAATGCTGTGTTATTCATCTGCAATAACTTATTTAACTGTAGTAGTAAGTCAATAATACTTCAGCACAGGCAGCACACTTGCTACTTCAGAATGAGCAAAGCCACAAATGACCCTGATTTTGGCAACGTTTTGCAGTTCTTCTGTAACAAATGGGTAAACGCATTAGAAAGTAAGGCTCCAAAAGACAGAACTGGAGAAAAGCATGATACCATTCTCTTGAGGAATGAGAGCTCAGCGTCACTGTTTTCTTAATTACATTCACCTGATTCTTTTACAGTCCAATCATATACTGGAAGCAGCACCATGTTAGATAACTGTCTAAAGCTTTGACAGAATAAAGTGTGAAATGAATTTCAGATGGATTTCAGTGAGAAGGGAGGAAAATGTGGCCTCAATTGCATTTCCTAGTTGTAGTATAAGCCTATTATCTCACATTTTCCTTCTGATTATCAGCCAGCATAGGTTCACTGTATTCAGGACCAGTATTTAGAACGTCAGTTGATTTAGGGAATACTTGGGATAATTTATTTCCATAAAAGTTCCTTGTGCAGCCTTAAACAGTTCAAAACAACATAAGCTGATTTATCAAGTTGATCGTTCAGCTGAGACATGATTTGGGACCTGTCCAGTTCTTTCAAGCAGCTCTTTGCAAGCTCAAAGACCTCCCTAGTGTCTGGTTCCAGTCTGCGTGTGTCTGGAAGCAATGGTTTGAGATCTGACTGCTCAGAACAGAAGACTGACAACACCTATGTACTTGACTCCAAATATTTTTCAAACGAACTGAAGAGTGAGGTTGTGAAATAAGCTTCAGGTAGAGTAAGGCTGAGGGTGGGCAAGTGCAAACAGCTATTCCCCATTTTTGCAGCCACGTTAACAAATTTATGAAGAGGCTGTCTGCAATAGCAGGGTATAGACTTACATGAAGCCTCCTCCAACGTTTAGGTCATGTATTAAGCTCTTGTGCCTAAATTTCTCCAAGCTGTAAGGCAGCTGTCGTGACAGGACAGTGGTGGGCACTGAGCTCTGCTGCTTCCTTCCTCCTGCCCATGCTGCCTGTCAGTAGGCCAACAGACCTCAGGTACTGCTGAGGTTTATAGCAGAAACCTGCTGATGGGATGAAAAGGATCGGTATAACGGGACTGGTTTACCATAGGTGGAAAGAGTACTTGTAACAGTACTTAGTTCTGAATAGCTGTTCCATCAAGATATATCACAAATAGGCAGATGTCTGAGAGTGTTTAATGAACAAGGAAAGATGGGACAGACTATAGGGCAGGAGAATAAAAACATCCTCATGCCTTTTGCAAGATGTTCTGTTTCATTATGCTGAAAAGAGAAGCTTTGTCACTTTTTCACTCAGCTGCCCCTCAGCTACCTAGCAAATCTCCTAGCTGTCTTCCTTTCTTCATATCACTACATGCTATCTGGGAATAAAAATTTAATCACATGGATAGACCCCAGATTCACACTACCGACCATTTAGCCGCTGAAGTACAATGTCATCTCTTTTTCATGTTGAACAGTTGCTCAATCCATTCTGAAAGACCATTCTCTAAAAGCATCTGACTCCTGCCACACAGGGAAGCTGCTCAGTTCATACAGTTCAACTAAATCAGGACCGAGGAGTTTTATTGAGTTAATGACAACACAAAATTAACCAGCAATCAGTGAACTATATGTTCAGGATCAATATAAGTGATAAAACAGATGAACAATAGCAAGCACTTAAGAAACATTAATAAACCTACACATTTCTGAACACCCTTCTCTAGTCAAAAAGCTCCAGCCACACGCACACACCACAGGCAGGGGACACACCTGCAGGATGCTCGCAGCACTCATTGAGGTGACTGCTCTTGCTGGGCCTCAGCAGAACTCATGGTTTTGCAGCTGCCTGCGCCACACCGGATGGATGGCTGCTGCCAAAGTGCCTCTACAGTACTGTTTGCTCCACCTTCCTCCTCAAGCTCCACGCAGCTGCCCTCACAGAGAGATTTGCAATTCTGGCTCGTGCTGCAGGCTCCTACCCATGTGCCAGAGGTGGGCTCCCTGCACCCCACGCCTCTGCCATGGGCTGCTCAACTGCTGTCAGTTCGGACCCTGAATTTCATGGCCCAGTTTTGGTTCGCTGCGTGGGTTTATTTATTTAGTATTGTGGTGGTTTTACCGTGCTGGGCAGCTAAACCCCACAACTGCTCTCTCACTCCCTCTCCTTTAGATGAGGAGGGGGAGAAGTAAAGCAAAGAACAACTCATGGATTGAGATAAGGATAATTTAATTAAAGGGAAATAATAATAATAATTAAATAAAGATTATTATGAACTAAACAATTTAACTAAGGGGAAATAAAAAGGGAAAGGGGAAAAGGGAGGGGAAAAGGAAAAAATAAAAAGAAGGGAGGAAAACAAACAAACAAAATAAATGAAGACTATATGGAAGTGCAGTGGAAAGAAATTACTCTCTACTTCCCACAAATGAGCGATGATTGACCACGTCCTTGAAGCAAGGCCTCAACGCACGCAGCCGGTGTTCGAGAGGAGGACTGACGTTTTCCCAAGAGCCCACCCCTCCCCTCTTCTTCCTGTTTCCACCTTTTATTGCTGAGTGTGACACCACATGGTATGGAATACCCTTTGGTTGGTTTAGGTCAGCTGCCCTAGTGATGTTTCTCTTCTCACTTTTTGCCCACCCCCTAGGAGGGTTAGAGAAAGGCCTAATACTGTGCCACTGCTGCTCAGCAGCAGACACAACACTGGTGTGATAACACTGCTGTTCCAGCTACAAGTACAGAGTACGGCACTGTATGGGCTGCTGCCGAAAAGTTAACATTCCAGCCAGACCCAGTACAAGTACAAAAATGGTGGTTTTCAGAGTTCCAAATTCTTTGCATACATTTTGCTACTCATGTCCATACAGTGTTTTAAAGCTACCCAACTAGCGTACCCTTCTAACTCACACATTCACTCATACTACACTTGTGTTTTGCTAACCTTAAAACCACAAATTTGAGAGTGATTACTTCTTATCTTAATTTCTTTCTATTCACTATTAGTTTTCTGATATTTTTCTTTGGACGTATTTCAGCCCCATTCAAAGGTTTGAGTTTACCTAATGCCCAGTGTCTGAGACAATTTTCTTATAGAAGTATAAGGTCCTTAATAAAAAAGCACTTGACCACTATAAGATACAGCCCTCCACTTTCCACTGCTAACTGCAGTTCATCACTGTAGAAAAACAGCACTTCACACACAAACTAGCGGTTATACTATCTATAGAAAATTCCTGAATAAAAAATTACGTAATATGTTTTCTACAATTGGTTAGCAAAAGATTCTTTAAAATAGAAAACTCCTAAGTATTGTGATCAATGGAAAACAAACATACATTAATCCTAACTTTTCACTGAACTTTCTGAAGACAAAAATAAGGCTTTTTTGTGTCTTTTCATTTATTATTAAATGTTATTCACTTCAGCTGGGAAGATACTTTACTATGTTGTATTTTTCATGTCCTGAAAATGTGACCATGCTTTAAAATACATAAAAACAAAAACAAATATTTTTCTTAACTTACTTTGTACTGTTGTTCAATAGAGAAAAGTTCATACAGCTGATGACAATCCATCCTCAACCTAATCCCGAATCCCCTGGAGCCACTATTTAGTTTTGAGCAATTGGTCTTGTGCTCTGTCTTATGTCAAGGAGAGTTGTGTAATTATTTGCATTAATGGATTTGTTTTTCTAATTTCAGCATGTGGCAAATTGATGAAAATTACAGGCCCCATTACAGTCAAGATATCCGGAACCCGATTTGGAGCCTGGATGACAGATCCATTAGCATCAGAGAAAAACAACCGAGTATGTTAAGGCGCTGAAATATCTTTGGGTTCTTTTACAGATTTACTTGCTTGATTTAAATCTTTAAAAGAGATTTTCTCTCTAGGAAATGTCCAAAGAGAGAAGATAGCTGAGCACATTTGTGCCCTTTCGTTACATTGTTTAGGGTTTGTGGTTCCCAAACTTTACTGGTTTCATTGCTATTACAGTTGGTTTTGTGCACCATTTTTCACTGGTCAAAGATTCAGCTGAGGAAAATTCAGCCAAGTGTATTTCTAAGCATAAAACCAAGCTTAACTCACATGCCCTTTCCACCTCTCTCCTTAATTATTGGTCTCTGAGAATATCTTCATCAAGTCCCATACAGCAGAGACCCAAACATTAAATAACTGCAGGCACTGCAGCTGTAACAGTCTTCCTGAGAGTTCACTTGTAGAGGTAAGTTTTGATGTAGAAATTCAAGAGTTCCTCAATGCCTTTCTAACAGGAAGGTGGACAATACTGTACTTTGATAGATTGCTGCACACCCAAAACCTTTTTCTGTCTTTTTTGGCAATGTATCCATTGTGCCATATCATGATCACGTGCCGCAGACTGTGTTCCAGGTGTTCACTTCCAAACTTTGTTTTCTTTCCAGGTCTGGTACATGGACAGTTACACTAACAATAAAATTGTCCGCGAATATAAATCAATTGCAGACTTCGTCAGTGGGGCTGAATCACGGACATACAACCTTCCATTCAAATGGGCAGGAACCAACCACGTTGTCTACAACGGCTCCCTCTATTTCAACAAGTATCAGAGCAACATCATCATCAAATACAGCTTTGACACTGGGCGGGTGCTTGCACAGCGTAGCCTTGAGTATGCCGGCTTTCACAATGTCTACCCTTACACCTGGGGTGGCTTTTCCGATATTGACCTGATGGCAGATGAGATTGGGCTATGGGCTGTGTATGCCACCAACCAGAACGCAGGCAACATTGTCATCAGCCAGCTAAACCAAGACACGCTGGAGGTGCTGAAGAGCTGGAGCACAGGCTACCCAAAGAGAAGTGCTGGAGAGTCCTTCATGATCTGTGGCACCTTGTACGTTACTAACTCTCACCTAACAGGAGCCAAGGTCTACTACTCTTACTCCACCAAAACCTCCACTTACGAATACACAGACATTCCTTTCCATAATCAGTATTTTCATATATCCATGCTTGACTACAATGCGAGGGATAGAGCTCTCTATGCCTGGAATAACGGACACCAAGTCCTGTTTAATGTCACCCTTTTCCACGTCATTAAGACTGAAGATGACACATAATTCTCTTTCCCTTTCCTTTCCCTCACCTCCCATCCTCAAAGCAGTGTCATTTGTGATAAATTCTAAAGCCTTCATCTCTCTCCATTCCTTTTAATTTACATTTCCTTTTTCCATTAAGGAAAAGCAACATTTTGTACTACACAATGCATTTCAAATATGGCTGAGCCTGTCAAAAATGACCTGTTGGATATAAAAGCATCTTAACTCATGATTCTACAAGGTCTTAATGGACCTTATTGTGAAAAGCACTAAAGAGGATTTAAGTGGCTAAAGACAGTTTTAAAAAGATTATGATCTGCCTTATTGTAGAGTCAGAGACTAATGGTGGCTTAAATGCATGAATGTCTTTTTTTTTTTTTACCTCATTTTTGATTTTAATCTATTGTTCAACATCAGGAAACATTTTGGTAGCAGACATATTGCACATCGTATTTTTTATTTATTCTAAAGGAAATATTTAGGAATTTAATTTTCGTGAACATGGAGTATGACTCATTTTGCCATCGACCAATTTCAGATGTGGTGCTGTATAGTAAGTTTTTAAATCTCTTGCAAACATTTTATCAACAGTATGTATTTCTACCATTGTAACCACCATTGTGCAATTGTATCTCTTCACTTCTGTGAAAGTAAACTAAGTACTATTTTTTATAAAATATATTGAAGCTTAATTGCAGTTCTGGCTATGGGTCAGTCTAAAGCGGTAAATCTGAGAATAGGTTGTTATTTCTCAGACAGATCAATAGTTTCTCAGGTGCATGATCCCCATTCTCAGCTTTGCTTGGTAGATCCCTTCTTACTCACCATTGGTGCTTACTGGCAAATTTGCAGTTTTGAAGCCTCACACCAAGCCCATCTTTACAACCTGTTCACCATGTCCAATTTTTACCACCCTGCAAGCTCTCGGTCTTTTTCTCCTGCTCTTCCCTCCCACTATTTTCTTTCCTTTATGCTCACTCCCTGGTCTGGGCCCTGGAAGATTGAACCTGACAGCGGGCTGCTGCCGATGCCCCCAGCCTGGGGGTGGGAGCATGTACCGCACTCGCGCTGGTCTGGGGTCACTCCTTCATCTGCCCAGCTTTGTATTCATAACAGAAGAACATTTATCTGTTGATGAAGGATTTTTAGGGATGACAGTAATTAGGAACAAAATACAAAGGAAAAGGTTCAAGTCATCGGTGTGATACCTGGTAGCTTCCAGAAATACTTGTTTCTTAAAGGTATTAGTTTTAACCATAAGTAATGCTATTACTGCTAGCAAAACCCAAACATCTCTGCAAAAAGTTGGTGTCAGTGCTGTGGCTGCTTTCTGGCAAGGGAGAGTAACTGTGATGGCTATTCAGCTTGCCGCACTCTCTCAGTAGAAGTTGGAGGGTAGGGGTATTTTACTGAGGAAGAAAGAATGAGGCTTGCCCCATATTTCATTGGAAATTTGGGGGGTGGGGGAGGTATTCTGTTGAGGAAAAAGAATGAGGTGCTATTTACCTATTTTGACATGTACAGAAAGAAACTAACACTAATAAAATGTCTATAACTAGTTCTTAAACTGGGCTGTCACGTAAGGCAGAGAGATGGGTATCTGAAAGCATGAAAAGCTTTGTTCCTCACAAAACCTGAGACTCCCCTTTTTTCCTCTTTTAAACCCTTTCAAACTGGGCTCATAGAAAAGCAAAAACATGTAGAAAAGTGTTCCTGTTTAGGAAGAAAAAAAATAAATGCACTGATATTTTTGCCAAATCTATTTAGAGGCCATTTGATTTGTTGATTTTTCCAATATACCAGCTGAGACCACCTTAAGTCTCATCAATGTTCTCATTATTATAAATATTGTATATACGCTAACAAGTCTGCTTTACAATATAAGCCCATGTGGAGCTGAATAACAAATTGCCTTGTTTTTCATACTGGTTGCAAAACAAAAAAAAAACCACCTGTGAGGTTTCAAGAACTGATAAAGCAGGGGAACAACAAGTACATTACAACAGGACCAGAGCAAAGTTACTCTCCTACCTTGCTAAAACAATCGCTGTTAGCCTTTAAAATCACTCACAGCAGAGACGGAGCCCAGGTAAGCAGACACGTTCAGCCACTGCGCTCCTGTACCCACTTGCTGGTAGCACACTTTCCTGTCTATACAACGAGCCTTCTGCAACATGCAAAAGTGTACATGACTGCTGATTTAAAAGGTATTTTGTATCATACAGGAATGTTTTATCAAAATGAAACATCTTCAGATTTTTAATCAAAAGCCCTAAAACAAACACTAACCTTTCCTCCTCACAGAGTAACTTCAACAAAACAGATTTTGAAAATACAGTGCTGCCAAGAAATTTAGGGAGAAATTAAACTTCCTTTCTGACATTAATAAACACATCTGAAAAAAAAGAAAAGTCACTACCATGTTTGCTTATGAAATTTTCATAAAGTGTAATTATCATACATGCATTAGTACAAGCTGACAATGTTTCTTACAGTAGGATTAATCTCATTTAGTTAGCAATTTAAACAGCAACATGTCTACACTCCTATCAGTCAAAGGAAGGAAAGAGACGACTGAAGGGTGCTGGATATGGGTAAGAAAAGCACCTCTGAAGGGCTGTTTGTCTTACTGACAAAACTACTGCACTAAAGCATAGATATCATACCTGGAGAAATCCTGTCCTTTTAAATTAGTAACAGTGGGCTGGATTCCAATACCTCTGAACATGAAAAAACAGCTTACACAGCATCAACACAACAAAGCCTGGTGGCACGCTACCAGGGAAGTAGCACTGCTCCCTGCTAGGAAGCACTCATTTTTCTGTGAATCTATGTTGATCCAAATGTCTTTGCGGAATACAGCTTTGGAATTTCCCATGAGGGAACGACATTTGGATCAACGCACCATGCCTCAATATGTGCAAATTTAAGTGTTACAAACTCTGCTTTCATAACTGAGCAGCACAAGCAGAAAATCTTTGTAATATAGCAGAAATCTACATATCAAATAAACTTTTATTCGTATAATTGAAGCATAGGCTATTTGTTGGAGGTACTGATACTTCAGAAAAAAAATCTCTCTTTAAACACTGGAAAGTTAGTTGTAGAGCCTATTTTACTAACTTGGTGACAAATCACAGCCTCCTGCTTCAAGGGATAAGCATGTAAAAGGACTGTGTCCTTTCTGCACCTCAAACACAACCCTTACACTCGGCAGAGCCATGCAGCTGGCAGCGGGGATGCCTGCGGTGCCCCATGCGTGCCTCTCCCAGGAGCCTGAGGACTGCGCACGATGCACACTGCCAGGCCCGCAGCTTCCTCCCTGCAACAGGCTAACCATTCCCCACGACAAAACGGGTACAACAAGTCCCCACGGAGAAGGCTCCCTGAACAGCAATCATCTCTTATAGCCCCCTGCGGCAGCTCGTCCCAGCGAGTAACCATCAAGTCCATGGTTACGCAGGCAGGCTGCTCAGCTGCTCCTACCTGTCACAGTGCGTTAGGCAGGGCACTAGCAGTGACCCTGGAGCCTACTTACGATTCTCACCACTACTAGAAAAGATGATATTTAATTTAGAAAAAAAATAATAAAATAAAAACTTATAACTGAGAATATTTCTAGACAGCTCGGGGCACTAGCTATCACTCAGCTCGGTAGGCTGGATCCACAGCAAAAGACAACAGGATTGTTTCAAACCACGGCATGAATAAATCCCTTACCTGGTAATTTGTTATAATACCCAGGTGCTTAGAAAACAGCAGGGCGAGACATGAACAAACCATTCACAGCACATTATTCAGCTGGTAAGTTTTGTCCTTTTCTAGTTCAAGAATTTCCAGGGAACAATTTTGATTTGTACTTTCTGGAAATCCTTTGGATGGGAACATATCTTCCCATAAATCACCTCAGCGCTCCCTGCAGCAAGTCTTCCCCTACACCCTTGCAGCTCAGGAAGCAATGCTGAGCACCTGGCCGTGTTTTTCACAGTAGGCTGATGCAGCTGCAGAGCTGCATCTCGGCTGCCCGTGCTGCTGCAGGCACTGCCCCTGCCCTGCCACACCCCTGCAGGAGCTGCCTTCCACCAGAAGCTCACAAAGGGCCTCAGGCATGCACAGCAACTTCCATGTGCCATACCTGAAACCTCTGCCTCACTAAGCAGGGAGAATGCTGTCACCAAAAAGAAAAGCAAAGCCCATTCTCTAAGCTGAGCTTTCCTCAGCAATTCTCCCACGTGTGACCGCACACCTGTGCATCAATATGCAAGCAAATAACCTGAACTATAAATTTATCCTCAAATTGTTCATTAATAAAGTTATTCTCCCCCACAGATTATGCAAAGCTCCTTATTACAGGGGTTTCTACATTCAGTTACTGGGAAACAGGAGACAGTTACCCAGCACCATGTTCCAGAGACTATCCACGAACAAAAGTTGTGTGCAGAAGGGCTCCTGCTGGGGATCTGGGAAGGAGACGTACTGCGTTGATTAGATAGATGCAACCACAGATTCACAAAAACCAGACATGCAGTTTTCTCCACACTGCAAACAGACCGTCCTTCTGATCAGACTAGGGACACAAGGGACATATCCTCGCTGCAGTGACCAGCTCTGATCCAAGTCAATAGGAATTATTTATAAATGTAGGGAGTGGCCGCAAATATCAAAATATGTATTCCCCCGAAACAGCATGTGGAAGAAATATTTGTTCTTAAAACACAAACCATGTTTATTGATCTGCATATCAATAGGGATTGCAGAAGCTTATCATAAAAGTGTTCAACTTCTTAAAGACTCAGGATGAGTCTATCACTGAGATTGAAGGAGGGGGGGAAAGCACCTTTAGAAGTTTCTGCTGGACTCATACACACAGCTTGCCAGCTGAGCAGTAGCAGCAGAGCCTGTGGAGTCTGCCTGTATCTATTCCACCAGACCACTTGATTAAAATTACACTGCAGAAACCTTTTGGCCGTCAAAGTGAAGCAAAGTTTCTACAGGATTTTTTCTTCCCAAAATGGCAGTCTTAAGCACAGGCTACCACAAATGTAGATAACATTTAGATCAGCTGCATCCTGCCCCCCAGCTTTGCATCTACTGTACAGAAATGCCATTTTCCTCGGGCACGGTGCAGCAGAGCACTTACACACTGGCTAGCAGCGGATGAGTTTCCCTTGGGCAGATGCACAGGGCTGAGCCCACAGCAGGCTGCCTGGAGAGGTGCAGTCGATCCGCAGCCGCTCATTCCCATGCCGAGGCAATGCAGTCTGGGTGTGCATGGAGAAGAACTCTTCTGCCCCAGAGATCTGATCGCTTTGAGTCTCACTGCTGTGAGTTTGGAAGCATGAGGAGAATGGATTTTTGTGCACATGGGAGTCAACTGCCATACGTCCTTTATGTAAAGATATACATGTAGTTTGAAAGATGACAGCACGAAAAACAACTGGAGACAAAAATGAATATACGGCAAGCTGTTGTTTTAAAGTAGTTTGAAAGAAATGTACTATACTGTGTTACTGAATTGTGGCGCTCCTTTGATTTTCTTCAGCTTCTTAAAGTCATTCTTTTAATTTCCCTCACACAGCATCAGCCACATGCACAAACCACTCCGGCTTATTTTCCTTTGTAGTTTTCTCTTCTGTTTGTTCTATTCTAATCTTCTTGATCTTCACTTAAACCTCTCCAACCCCTCTCATCTTGCAGTGTGAATTTTAATGAAGGGTTATTTAGATAGAACTCAAACTGTACAAAAGGTTTATAGCATAGCAAGCTTCATCTGGAGAAGGCCTAAATTTATGCTCCCAGTTATGTAAAGTTTAGATCTACTGTGCCCATAAAAGTGCCTACAAGCAGTACTGATTGTATATCATGGGCTGCTGTAAAGAAATAATTTAAAACAGATACAGGATAGCTTTCTTCCCTTTTATTTATTTCTAAGGAAATATTTTGTTTCATATCTGCAATGGTGAGAAATTAAATTAGAATAATCTTTCACCAGAGCAGGCTAAACCTCCTTTCCTCCCTTCTGGATCACACCCTCAAGGTGGTCAGCAATGCTTCCATCTCCAGGACATCAGGCATCACAGTAATTGAGTGTGCATCCTGTCAAAGACGCTTATGCCTTTCGCGTTGAGCTCCAACTCTGTGTCACAGCATGCAGACAGGCCATTTATTCAGCCTTCCCTCATCTGGGTAAGCTGGGCTTATTGTCACCTTGAAGGACATAACAGACTAATGGTTTCTCAGGATTTCAAGAGACAAGTGCCTTTTAAAGTGCACAGAAGAACAGCTTTAACTCATTCCTACAGCTCTTGGGCACAGCAGGCATTTCTTAGCCACCTCCTCAGGACTGTAAGGCAATACACAGACAGTAATTAACCAAGCTTCCCACACCTTCAGGGAGGAAAGAACAGTTTTACAAATCTCATTCTCCAGACTGAGCAGTTTGGACAGAGAGCAGTTCAGCCTAAGCTGCACTTAGCTTAGGCTAAAGCTAATAAGGTTTCTAAGCTTAAGCTAAACCTAATAAGGTTTCTTTGGCTCACCAAGAGTAGATGTTAGATTTCCTGTATCTCGAGTCAGCATATCATTCATCTGCAGAATCAAATACCTCTGCCCAAGCTCTGTTCATGCACTCTTACACTGATTTTTAATGTTTTTTTCTATGTTTTCAGCCTTGCAAAGATGTCTGCACACCAGCAAGGTGTTATTTTTAACTCGACACTTTCAGTCTCAGCAGCATGTATGGCACAGGCAGCCAGTTGGCTCATGATTACCACGTGCCCGCCATTAATAACAGGCTCTAAGTGATTTCTGA